ATGCATGGTCAGGGCCTCAGGTAAGAGCCAGGCCAATCAAGCGGGGTCAAGGAGATGGCTCAGGCAGAGGACACATGCCTGGATGAGAATAGCCACGAGGTAAGTGGAGGCCAGGCCTGGCATGGGGCACCTCAGAGCTGGGTTGTGCACCAGGGGTTCCCTCAGCAGCTATGGCAACTGCAATTGATGGGCCTGGGGCTGGAGGCAGAAAGTGGCCTGCCAGGCTTGTACCATACTGTGGTAGAAAGCAGGAAGCTCCACCCAGTTCAGGAGCATGAGGTCCAACAGGAAGAACTCTCGGTCAAAGCCAAGGGCCCCCACCCTCTGTAGGAACTGGCACATCAGTTGTTGCCATGGTAGGCACTGCTCACAAATTCAACCAAACTCTGGCCCCCTCAGCTACAGGTAGGTAAAGGACAGCTCATGGGAGCCAGTGGTGCCCATCTCAGAAAAAGTCAACCAGGAGGCACCAGAGTCTCTCGAGTAGGTCCTGTGGCAGATCGAGTACGGTGCACCAGTGCCAAAAGGTCACCGCCACTAGGTTGTTCACGATGAGAACACATCCATGGTAGGAGAGGCTGGGTAGGCACCAGTGCCACCATTGTAGGCAGACTTCTACCCCTTCCCTGGGGCTGTCCCAGTTGCTCACCATGAAGGTCGATGGCCCTAGGAACACACCCAGGACCTTGAGGCCCTTGCAGCACCAGATGAGGCCCCCTAGCAAATCTGTGGGGGGGGGGGGGTGCCGATCCACGCACCAAGCAGTAGGGTATCACTCTTGGCCCAGTTGATACGGGCTGAGGAGTCACATTCATAGACTCACTGGCAGTCTGTTAGGGCCCCCACATCTTCCTGTGTGTTAAGGAAGATGGTCACATCGTCTGCATATGCTGATAGGCCAGAGCAGAGGGGCAATGGACAGGCCCGTGGCCAATGGCAAGGCCACACCACTCAGGCAGTGCCACAGTGCATGCAGCAGTGGCTCAATGGCCAGGGCATAGAGCATGCCGAAGAAGAGGCAGCCCTGATGGATGCCTCTGCATTCGGGGAAAGGGGCACAGAGCACCCCATTAACCTTGAGCAGACCAGAGACATCTTGATATAAGCCCTGGAGGGCCCTGGTGAAAAGGGGCCCCAAAGCCAAAGGGCTCCAGTGTCTCAAAGAGGTAGACATGGCCCACCCAGTCGAAGGCTTTCTCCTGATCCAGAGAGATGAGGCCAATATCTAGGCCGAAGAGTTTGCTGGCTGTGAGTAAGTAACCTGTTTCTGCTGTGTGGTCTTGGATAGTTCTGCCCAGCACGCAGTAACTCTGCTCAGGCCCAGTGACAGATGCCATGATGGTGTGGAGACGAGTCATCAGCACTTTGGCCAGAATCTTGTAGTCCACACACATCAGGGAGACCAGCCACCAGTTCTTAATGCAGCCAAGATCCCCTTTCTTGGGCAGCAGCATGAGCACTGCATGGCAGCAGCTGGTCAGCAGGACCTTGTTGGCAAGGTTCTCCTGGAAAGTCTGCAGGAGACAGGGGCTGAGGAAGGGCCAGAAAGTCTTATAATAAAAAAACAAAACAAAAAAAACCTCAGCAGGTAACCCATCAAGGCCTGGGGTTTTGCTGGAGGTGAGGCCAGCTGAGGCAGTTGCCAGCTCCACCAGAGAGAATTCCTGTTCAAGCTTGCTGGCCTCCAGGGTACAAAGGTGTGGCAGACTCGCATGGAGTTCCCACGTGGCTTCAGGGAGGGACGGCTCAGCTGCAAACAGGTCATGATAGAAAGACAATGGTGTGCTCATGTACTTCACCCAGGTCAATGATTACCCTAGCCTCGGGGGTCTTGAGGTGATCTAAGACTTTGCTCACTGCCCACCATCACTCAAGGTTGAAGAAGCAGCAGGTTGCGGCATCTGTTTTGGCCAGCTCTTGGCAGTGGGCACGGGTCCTCGCTCCGCAGGCCGCACTCTGCCAAGTCACGCAGGCATTTCCTGTGGAACTGGAGGCTCTCGAGCAGCACTGCATCACTGCTGGCAGCCAGCAGGGCAGCCTCAAGCTCTGCCACATCTTCCTCCAGTTCTCTGATATGGCAGCACAGTTAATTTGTGGCCAGCTGAGTGTACTGCTGGCAAAAAGCCCAGATCTGTACCTTGCCCATATCCCACCATAGCTTCCAGGAGGAGTAATTCAGTCTTGTGGCCTTCCAGCCCCACCAAAGGTTGGCAAAGCAGTCCTGAAAGTAGGAGTCTTGAAGCAGGCTGACATTGAAGCAGCAATAGGGCACTTGTGTGCAGGTTCTACCTGCAGGCTAAATTCACAGCAAGCCAGGCCATGATCTGACGAGTCCGAGAGAATGATGTGGCCACTGCATAGGAGTGGCAGATGGTGCCTGGTGACATAAAGGTGGTCAAGGTAGGCCATAGTGAGACCACCAGCACTCATCCTGGCCCAGGTGTACTGGTGTGCATCAGGATACAGGGCTTGCCAGACGTCAATGAGTCCTGCAGTCTCCAGAATGGACTGCAGCTTGCGGGCTGAGGGCAGATGAGGCTCAGGCCCTGTCCAGTCAAGCGGGGTGTCAGTGGTACAATTAAAGTCCCCTCCTATGAGGAGCAAGTCATCATCCTCACTAGCATCATGCAAGAAGGCATCCAAGGTCTTGAAGAAAATGACCCTGTCATGGCCATCAGTAGGTGCATAAACATTGACAAGTAGCAAATGGTGTTCCACTAGGGTGACATGAACAGTCAGCAGGTAGACGGGGACAATCTCCCATGCCACCGCTGTATCATGCTGTAGTTGTGATGATAGAAGAGTTGCAACCCTGGTGCTAAGGTTGGTGCCATGACTCAGGAACAAGTGGCCTTGCCAGGCATCATGCCAAGCCAACTGGTTCAGCCTGTTGGAATGTGTCTCCTGGAGGAAGGCAACAGCTAGCCGCTTCTGGTGCAGGAGCTCCAGGATGGCATCCCATTTCACCAGATCATGACAGTGTTGATGTTAAAAGTACCAATGGTTGTGGCTGCCATGGGTGTGGGTATGGGAGAGGAAGAGTGAGGTAAGGGGTAGGTAGAAGAGCAAGCCCCTGAGAGCAGAGCAAAAAGCAGAGACAGGTCAGAAAAGGCCTATCATGCCCTGCTCTACTACAGGGACCCCACTAGGCCCCACTCATCTCTCACCTGCTGTGCAAGCTTCTCTAGATGGTAAGCCATCTGCCAAGTGCCTAGATCTTGTTGCATAAGTTTGGCTGGAGCTCTGGCAGCCTTGATAAAAACTTTAGGATCTACAAACCATTGAGTGATGCACCCCGCTATGTTCTTCTGTCCTTTAGTTTGTTTCAAAAAGGTCAGGAGCCCCCCATAGTCGGGACTGCCCAGGGGAGGGTCTGCCAACATGGGCTGCACATTTCCAACAGATGCATTGCAAGGCTGCACCTTAGTTTGGAGCTCACCCCCAAATGCAGCATCTACACCCTCAATATCTAAACCCATCAGCCCCCTCTGATCATCCTGGTCAAGGACCGTCTCTCGAACAGCAATCCCCACCTTCTTGCGGGGAGAGAAGTCATCCTGCTCTCGAGGTTGCTTGCGACACTCAGAAAGCTGGATCTCCATCTCACTAGCCTCCTCATCTAATTCAGTAGCCTGGGACATGCCCAAGAGGTCAGCAGACTCCTCTGCCACCCTCTGGGTCAGATCTTCAGAAAAGAGGCATCGTGCATAGCTTTTACTGCCACCTGCCTCCAGAAGCTGGGAGACAAGTGAGGAATTAACGAACCCCACTTTCACCTCCCCCACCTCCAAGCTGCCCCCATTGCCAGTGTACAGGGTCACTGACATGACAGCTGGAGCGGGGTCAGGCTTTCCAGCAGGGCCCACTCCAGCACCAGCTGATGAGGGTCTTAGCAGGGATAGGGTGTCCTGAGTGGTCCCTTTCACTTTCTTCTCTTTGTTCTTCTTCTTCTTCGTGGCAGGTGGTCCACCCTTCATAGAGGAAGGGATGGACTGCTTCTGGCCTGCCTCCCCAGGGCCATCTACCTCAGACAAGGTCATGGTGAAGGGCAACTGGAAGGAGGTCTGAGTCCTGTCATCCAATAGGACCTTGGCACCACAATTGCTGACCACCCCAGCTACCTCAATTAAGGCAGTCAGGGCAGGTAGGGGGCAAGTGGAGGCATCAGTCTCTCCACCTGGTGGTGTCTCTGTACTGGTGGGAGTGGGCACTGTAGGTGGAATGGGTGGGGGGGCCACTGGACGCCATTCTCAGACCAGAGACTCCAGCCCCCTCAGATGGAACAGGGGTGGAAGGAGGTTGGGAAAAGCTCCTGGCCTCACTGGGTGGGGCCTGTGTCCCAGAGGTGGATGTGCTATCTGTCAGCGCTGCTGTAGTCACTGATGTTCCAGCGATTTCCCCCATGGGCACTGGACTGCTAGGTGGGAAGAGCTACCACAATGGAAACACACGGTCTCCCCAAAGGAAAAATAGATCAGAAATCTCTGCCCATTGAACATGAGGCTCAAGGACTGAGGCAGAGATCATGGGCCCTCCCTGAGAAGCATGGAAACCTGCCTTTGAAAAGACAGGACTTGTCTCAGTTTGGGGTTTTTGCTTCCTATCATCAGTCAGTGAAAGGGACTCATAAGAAGCCCACAGGGCTCGAGTTCCTTGGCCAGCTCCCAATCAGTTACATGCGGGGGCACATTAGAAATCACCACCTTCTCTGCTAGGGTGTTTAGGGGTGTAACAAAATAGTGTGCGCCCACAATATCCAGGCCCTCTGCACACACCCTGTTAACTAGGGTGGAATCGCTCAGGTAAATTATTGGGACAGTGTTAACACAACTTGCATAATGTATGTTATGCTGCCCCAGGAGACTAGCAAGGGCATCTACGCAGACCTCAACCCTGATGTAGGGAGGGGTTTGAATCCTCAAGCCATGAGTAATGGAGATGTTCTGAGAGGCATCCTCATGCCATCTGTTGGGT